GAACCCTAACTCTAAACTAACTCATCAGTATCCTTCCAGACTGATAATTGCATTTTTTCCAGGAAACACTCCAAATACATGCTGAAGAGCTAAGAAAACAAAAATAAAGTCAACAAAAGCCACAGTTGTATTCAGAGAGGTTGATTTAACCTCTCCTCTTGATTACCAAGGGATCTTGATTGTGCTGGAGAACATCCAAGGACAATAGGGCTATAAAGCTTTATTTGGGCCAAGGCCCTGCTAAGCTACTGGGTAGCAAGGATATAATCTAAAGAAATAATTCTTGGTCCAAAAAGGATGTTTGTGATCACGTTCCTAGTGCCTCATTTAGTTAACACAAACTTAAAACAAAACCATCCCACCCCACCACACCCCAAATAAATCCTCAACACAAATAGATAGGAGTCCACATTTAATGAACAGCATCATATATAGACTGTGTCCTGAAGTTACTGGCTCCCACTGTGAAACTGAGGTGTTTCAGCTTTTCCCTTTTACTGATTTCTTTTTGTTAAAGATGTTCCAATTTTTAAATCAGGTATCATCAAGATGATAAAACATTTGGGGAAAAAAATGCATCCCAGTAGCCCAAAACTGGAGGCCAAGATGGAAAAAATCTCCACAGCTACCATGTATTTTCCCTTGGTGCTCAGATAGGAGGGAATGAAGGAGAGCCAAACACTGCAAAAGACCAGCATGCTGAAGGTGATAAATTTAGCTTCATTGAAGCTGTCAGGTAGTTTTCTAGCTAGAAAAGCCACAGTAAAACTGACCATGGCCAGGAATCCCATGAAGCCCAGGACACAGTAGAACATGGTAGAGGAGCCTTCATTACATTCCAGTATAATCTCCTTATTCAACGAGGACATATCGGCATCTGGGAATGGGGGAACTGTTGACAGCCATGCAGTGCAAATAGTAGCTTGAATCAGCAAACAGGAAAGGATGATGGAGTGAGCCAGCCTTTTCCCCAGCCATTTCCTAAGCTTGGACCCAGGCTTGGTGGCCACGAAGGCCAGAACCACAATGATGGTTTTGCCCAGGATAGAAGAAACTGCTAGTGAAAAGATGAGGCCAAAAGCAGTTTGGCGAAGGACACACGTGACCTTCTCTGGTGGCCCAATGAACAACAAAGCACAGAGGAAGGAGAGCAGGAGAGAGATGAGGAGAACGTAGGTGAGGCTCCGGTTATTGGCCTTGACTATGGCCATGTCTCGATGCTTAATGAAAAGCCAAAGCACAACTGTGGTCAGGAAAGAAAAGAAAAGAGCAAGAACAGCCAAAGAGACCCCTAAAGGTTCTTTATGAGACAAGAAACTTAGAGTTTTTGGAATGCATAAATGCTGTTGAGGGTTTGGATACTGATTTATCGGACATGGGAAACAGGCATCTGCATCTGAAAAAGAAACATTTGGGCTGCAGTTACATAATGATCAGTCAGGTAATAAGAGGGACTCAACAGAAGCTACAACATCACCTTATCTCTTTATCAGGGTTCTGCTCTTGAGTCGGTGCAAATTCTGAATCAGAAAAGGGAAAGGGTGTGGTTTCAGTAGGATACCTGCGGTATACTGGAAGGGTCTATCATAATCTGCCTTAGATTAAATTCTTCCTCAGTGTTCTTCAAGAATAGAGGAAATGATAGGGGTAGAGGTAGAGGTAAAGGGGGAGGGGGAGGTGAAGATGGAGATGGAGATGGAGGTAGAGAAACAGACATAAACATAGCTCTATACATACTCAGTAGGCTGAATATCACCATACATGCCAAAACCGGGGATTTTTGTTAACTGGTATTTCTTTTGCATGCTTGAAGGACTCCTCATCGAAAGATGGCTGGGGTGGGGGATGGAGGAGTAGAGAATTCGGCAGTGGGAGATTCTAATCTGAGTTATGCCTACCATCTCAGGTCACAAACTCAGGTCACAGACTTTCAGATCTGAGGCAAAGAGAGGTTGAGGCATACAGGGCTATACATTTGAATCCATGCACAACATTCCATGAGTTGTGCATACTTTCTCCCCTCATAATAGTCAAATGATTTCTGCAAGTGGTGCTCTTAGAAGTTTAGGTTTTTTTCCTTGTGAAGTAGTGGGAAACCAAACTCTGTTTGTCCTGAATAACCCTCCAGCATTGGTACAAGTTGTAACGAGGTACCCAGAACCAGCACGAGAGGACCCAGCCACAAATTTTGTAGCCCTTGAATCATCCTACTGGATAGATACGTATATTTGTGGAAATAATTAGTTTCTTCCAACCAAATGAGGTCTTATAAAGAATAGGAAAGATAATCTACAGTTCTTTTAAAGGATATATCTTCAGCTCAGCAATAAAGACCATTGACACTACTTTTTTGAAGCATAAATGTGCTTCATGTTATGGTGGTAAAAAGTTTTGAAGTCATTACAGAGGAAGTACTTTGGATCTGAAATGCAAAATCTTTTTTGAAATTTCAGTGAATTACAGGTTAAGGTTCAGGTTAGGGTGAATTTGATTCAGAGCAAGTGCTTTGCACCATGCCAGAACGCAAACAGTCTGTGATTCATTAAGCCAGCCCCATCTTTTCCCAGGACTATGTGGCTGAGCAGAATCTGTATGATCCCAGAGAAAGACCAGTCTCCTGCCATGAATCACAGTTAGGTCCTGCATTGGTACATCTCTGCATTCTGAAACACATTTTCCAAATCAAACCAATACATTCCACACCTGCAGAGTCCTACCTCCCCCTGTGTGTACCTGCTAGAGCACAGATACAATAGTATGTAAGAATATTCTGCTTCTAACATAACTTACCCTTCTGATTCGATATCTTCCCTTCTGGACATGGAAAGCAATCGTAACAGCAAAATGGCTTCCCTTCCTTCTTTCTTTTACTGAAACCCTCTTGGCAATTGTCATTACACAGTGAAAGAGGATACCCCTGGACATGAAAGAAAGAGTAGAATGTAACACAGAAGAAGATTTTATAGCAGCTTTGGATGTATCATTTAAAATAGTTTGTCTACATGACCCTATTGTTTTGTCCTTTGATATCAGTTCTTAATATAGACTTCTTGTTAAACAAAAGGCTAAGGAGATCAAATACATTTAGTTTATTTCATCATGTTTCATTATGATTATGATAATTTTGTTCTATGGCCCTTGAGTTTGACAAATGCTTACTATATTTGCAAATACAGATAATTCTGTAAAAGAAAATCTTAGAAACTTGGTTTTAAGCCTGAGGAAATACACTATCATGTTCCCAGTTCTTATAATGATGATAGCAGCAGGATATTATTTGCTATTCTATGCTGGTCACTCTAGAGGCCAGAGCCTAGGTTGTCCAACACACCTCTCTCTCTTCATCAGCAGAAGAGAACTGGTAGGAAATTTAGGAAGAAGATTTTGGAGATGCTGCCCAATTCCTCAAGCATCAACAATCTGAATCAATGTCTTGTTTTGCCTAATGTTAGGGCAAGCTTCAATAAATTACATTCCAACTTTTCAGTAATGTCTGAAAACATGTACACAGGTGCATAGTTACCTGATTAAACCTGTTAGGCCACACAATATGATCGTCATCAATGACAAATAGACTTTTTGAAGAAGCATGTGGGTCTATCATTCCAACTTTGACTCTATGAAAAGACTGGTTTGGAAATGTTATCCAGTTGATAATATCAAATCCCACTATTCTTTCACCATTTTGGTTAAAAGAAGTCACGTCACCAGCACTATTGTTGAATGAAACTCTTCTCAAAAAGGGGTGGAGCTAAGATTGAACAAACATATACAAAAGAAGATAGAGAGATAAATGGATAGAGAGAGATGCATATACAGCATTGCGATTCTAGCAAAATTAAAAATAATGAAGATTTGAGGCACTTTAACCTATTGGATAAAAGTAATATTTATAATGGGGAAAATAGAAACAACAGTCAGTGAAGATTCAAGATTGAATAGTAAGTTATGTGAGAATTATATTCAACTGGCAGAAGATAGTATTATTATTATTATTATTATTATTATTATTATTATTATTATTATTGTGGTTGGTTGCACAGTCAGCCAGATATTTAGACTGGATTTGGCATTATTATCCACTTATCAAATCCTTCCCAAGGACCTGGGATAGGCAGCTGTTCTTGTTTGATGGTGTTAAAGGTATTATCACAGTATATGAACTTTTCCAAGTAAATTAGTATTCTTATTTACAGGATTACACTTAACTAGATTGGATTCCCACCTTGGAAGAAAAGTCTTCATGAAAATAATGGTAATCACTTTCAGTTTTTTTTTTATTCACTTGAACCTGGACAGAAATCTCATAACCAACCTGCCTGTGTTTCAAAATCCTCTGTGAAGCTCTGCCTTCATAGCTTGGACAATAAATTGCTTTGAAACCATACTCAGCCCAGAAATAACTACATATGACGTTTATTTTTTTAAAAGATCATGGAGGAAGGGAGTATCAGATTCATTGGTCCAGATGTCTCTCCTCAGAGCAGAGTGATTCTTGTCACTATCTGCTGTTGGGGGGGTTTTTGGTTTTGTTTTGATAGGCCGTTAAATCATAGAGGGATATGGAAAGGGTGAGAAATCTAGATCTGTTTTTTGTTACAGCCATAGCTTGTTGTCTGAACTGCTTCTACATGAGAATATCCTAATTCATTCAATATAATGGTCAACACCTCATGCATTTTTCCTCACTCTTCTTTTTGATTGATTGTCCTTCAGGTAGTGTCCTTTCAACTTTCTATTTCTCTTTTCTCCCATCCTTTCCTTCATCTCCATGTGACTTGAGAGATAAGAGTGTTTAAAAACAAGTCAAATAATGAAATAAAAGAAAAATGTGAGGGAAGGGGAAAGGGGGAGACATCCTCCTCCTCCTCCTTCCCTCCATGACTCATAGGTCTTCAGCTAGGATTATACTGTGAATTAATTTGGATGAAAGGTGATGGTAGTGGTGGTGGTAATGGTGATGCTGCTGCTGCTATAGAAAGACTTTCTCTTTCTCTTTTTTTTCTTCTCATTCATGCTTCTGCATTAGGAGCACATTGTCATGGACTCCTTTCATCTTAGTCACATTTGATGTCAAGAATCTGGCATGAAAGATACAAAGTTGCTGCACAGCCCTCCATGCAAATGTTTTGTCACCTACTCAAAGACCAGTTTGTACATTTATCATTAGACTCTGAAAAAACCTTTGAGAAAATACATAGATAGTATGTCCTATAACGTTTGGGAGAAAGCAGTGGAGTATATAAATATGATTGTGTGACAAAAGCTAACATTTTCAGAGGATAATATTCTTTTGAACTATATACATAGTACATGGAATTTGACATCTGGACATGTGGTCAGTGGAATATGGTAACCTCCTCCTCCGTAATTATTACCCCTGCAATTTTCTAAGCAGTACGGCCCTTATTAATCTTAGAATGAATTTGCATCAGGAATTAACTCTATTTTCCTTTTCGAAATCACAATCCCAAATGACCAATTCTGTGCTTAGCTGTAAGTCTTACTTCAATTTAATAAACTCAAAGACATCGGTTTTGATCATGACACCATTTTACAACCCAAGAATGAGGACAAATCACAATTTAATTCCTGGAATTTTTTCTCCAACTGCAAGACATCTGGCTATACAGCCTGAACCACTTCCTTCAAAGTTTAGAAATGTGCTTGCTCTTTCTTCTTAAATAAAGTCATGAGAAATTTTGATTTTAGATACAAAACCTATACTGCTTCATTTACAGTTCTTGGTAAATGGTTTTTGACCTGTTGTAGCACCGTCCTCCCATTCTGTTTTTACCTGCCAGGAGACTTGATTGAGAAGATTCTTCTGCTGCTGTTCTTTTCCCACTCGTCTCTGCTTGGACTGTGATAAATACATGAAGTGCACAGCATGTGCTACAGCATAGACTGCATTGTAGATACTGTAGCTGTGGGCAGTCATCTTCATTTCAAAAAGAGTCGTAGGGAGGCTTTCCAGTTTCTCCTTCCCAGTGCAGACTCTCCCAGATATGTTGTCTAAGTTGGATTTGGGTAAAGAACACTCAAATGCATGTTCCCAAAAGATCTGGAGAAAGTCATCTTCTTTTTCTGAGCTAGGCTTTCTGGTCTGAAGAAAGGTTTGGAATCCTAACACATCCTTTGAGTGAATTGCAAAAGATATAGCACCATGGATGAAGTCTATGTCCTGTGGCTTTTTAAAAGAGTAAGACACAAAATCCATCTGAGCTGTCAGAATCCAGACTTTACCTTTTGATTTTGCCATGTCAAGATAGTCTGATATTCCTAGCAGCAGTATCAGAACTGACATGGTTTGTAGTTCTCCGTGTATGACTAAGACATTGGAAGTGTTCCTAGTTATGATCTTATACGTCTTAATCCCTTCTTCCACAAGTGTTTCTACTGCATTAGAAAACCCTTGTTTGGGGAGTCTTTGAATAAAATCAAAGCAGATGCCACTCTGGGAAAAAAACGGAAGCACATTCTGCACGAACCGCTCCCCATTGTCGTCATCGAGATACAGCACCCCGATCCACGTCCACCTGAAATGAAGAAGTAGGCGAAGAATCCCATTGTACTGATGGGTGCCTTTGGGGAACATCTGTTGGACAAAAGCATTTTGGGTTTTGTAATCCAGAACTGGAGCAGAACCGTATGACAGCTAAGGAATTGATAAGAAAAAGAACAAATTTCCAAAATAGGTTTCTGTGCTTCTGTTGGCATATGGAATTGGCATGCTGGTTCACCTTGGATGCTGGTTCCAACATATTTACTTGGAAGCAATCCAAATGTTGTTCTCTCCTCCTCCACCCCCATTTTTTATCTATCAGAACTCTTTACAGGTTGGAATGCCACCCTCAACCTGCAGCTTCAAAGTCCATATGTAATTCCTTCCATTAAATGATACATAATAGATCAAAACTACATTCTGCAATCCATCTGAACTGTTATCCTTTCCTAACTGGTTTTGTGATACCTAATAACTGAACAATTTCAGTTAAATTCCAGTTTCTTCTTATACTAAGACTAGAAAACTGCCAAACCACATCCTAGTTGCTAAATCATTCATTTCTAGTATTTTATGCAAAGTTTTACAAATGTCTCTTATAATATAAAAAGAAACAATCAAAATACTTCATATAAAATAAAAATAAAGCTATCCATAAAAGTACCATAAAATTACTAATCAAATAAACTCAGTCAAGCAACAGCACAATTATTAACAATAACATTGATTTTGATAACACAAAAAAGCTAACATCTGCAACAATCTCTAAGACACACCTTTTTACATATAATTTAATTTTAATGGAAATTTTCTGCAAAAGCTTTGCTAATTGAAACATTATAATTTCCTTCATGAAGGCTTTGCTAACAGAAATTTCCATAATGTAATACTTTTTATATGTTATTTCAGAGATGTAGATGTTTTCCTGTACCAAAAAGGGTAGAGGTGCACATTTTTAATCAGAAAAGGATGAATATTCAGATCAACATTGTTACATTAGAATTTAAAAATCTGTTCTAGATGGAAACTGTTCAACAATTGTTTTACATTTCTAAAAGCAGGAGAATTCTTATCTATTGAAAAATGAACCATAGAACATTAAATACTATTGGTTAAAACTCAGGTATAAAGAGCTGACACAGAGTTTCCAAATATATCTCTAAAAACGCACAGGATAATTGATGCAGGCTTTTGACCACAGAAAGCATTTCTAGTTCCTTTTAGCATCTAGAAACTGAGGTATCTTCTAAATCAAATTATGAAGAGTCAAGGTTAAGCATGTGTTAATCTCAGTTTCAGGGTAAGGAGACCCTGGTACAGACCTTTCAGACAGAACTGTACATTTGAAGTTCCTTTTGGACACGCCTTCTGAAAAGAAAGGGAGGACCTGGTGCAAATTTATGATCAAATAAAATAAATTGTGGCTGAACCATTTTAATTGATATAAACAGAGGAATTCTGACATACAAATATGAAGGTTGAAAGTAAACATGTTAGTCTCAACTGTAAAGAGGCCACAGAGTTTTCTTCCTATTTTAATCAGACCAATAATGGAGGCATCAGAGGTCTGGATATTCCTTACCTGTGGA